CAACCATTCTTTTTAGTCGAGTTAGGCTCTGAATCGTGCGACTGTCATTATTTTAGGTAGGGTAGGTCTAACTTTTGCGGCCTCGACAAAAAACGAGTTAGGCTCTGAATCGGCGCAACCATTCTTTTTAGTCGAGTTGGCATTCCCATGTCCGCACACTTTTGCGACCTTGACAAAAAACGAAACACTGCCAGTTATTGTCGTTACTCTCAGACGTCACAAGCGCCTGGACCAAAGCTCAAAAACTTTTAATCCCTCAGTCATAGGTTCAGTCTGAATGAACTTTTGGTAAACGTCAATCTCATCAAGTCCTTCAATTCAACGAAAGAGTCGGACAACGTCCGACGTTTAAAAATCCCCGGCAAAGACAGCGGCGCGTTCCTCTGCCTAGGACGCCCTCTGTTCGCCAAATCGTTCCTTATATCCTACCTGATTGCCACGTGTCGGCTCCGATACCAACCTCACGCCCGGGGCGACTTCCTAATCGGAGTGTGAGTGGGCTTGAAAGTGCGAAAAAGGGGGTGTGCCAAGGATTTTAGGAAAGTAGGGGTGGAGTCCCAGGTCGGAACTGAGATCTCCTGTGAAGGTTTCAGGGATATGAATGCAAAAGAGGGTAGGCGCGGGTCGGAGTTCGGGTTGGTGTTTTGGAGAGCGGTGCTACGGCCTTTCCTGGCTCCGTTGTTTGCGAGCGTCCGCCACGGGGCGATGATCAGGGAGTGAAAGGGCATTACCCTGTGATAGGGAGGGAAGTCGGTATCCAGGATGATAACCCCAGGTTCTGCGATGGTGTGACACGTGTATGAGTGGGGAAACTCCGGGCGATGGGGAATACACTCTAAGGCCCAACTAATATCCCACTCGCAAACACGCTCGTCCCCGACTAAGTATGGAAATTTCGCGGGCTTCACCCGTGAGCGCGCAGATAGACACGTGTGCTCCCAATGTTCCTGGAATTCCCAATCCCTCAAACAGTCGCGATTAGTGATACGAAAGGGGAGTTCGATATTCATTCGGCGAGGTGGATGAAAATTCAGACATTCGGGAAATGGGCCGAGTACAAGTTTTGCAGACACGCATGTAAATAACGGCCTTCCTCGGCTGGGCTTACACGTGCGTGCACAAAACCTGCTCGTCGGTTGGGCAGATAAAGGTCCGCTACATGCAATTGGTGCGCACAGACTTGTTAACCCTAAGGTGGGCAATCCTATCGTGAAACATACATCTAATCATCTAGCATGCCCATCTAGTTCATACTCCGACAAAAAGGAAAGACCAAACAGTCGTGCATCTCATTTTGAATACACACCATTAATAAAGACATGTTGGCAATCATCCATGCATCACGGCCATTGGTCAGGATTCATACAAAAATTCAGTTGTTGGTGATCAATCCATCAAGCATATTGAGGGAAAGCAAGGGAGATAATCACACATCAATTTCGGGGAAAATCCCGACCACCGATCCGAAAAGGCAAGGGCGACTTGCGTCAATACACCAAAATTACTCAGAAGAATGAGAGAAAAGACACCAAAGAAATAGAAGAAAGACTCCTCTCCCGCACGTCTCGTTTTTTTTTTTTTTTTTTTTTTTTTTYTCTCTCTCTCTCTCTCTCTCTCTCTCTCTCTCTCTCTTCATAACGTTGCGATGCGGGCAGTTCGTCGCCTCGCACCTACACAAAGTTGTCATCCCGCTTAGTCCGAGCATGCAAGGCGGATTCTCCCGTGAGCCACAGTCCGTTGCGGCCCCACGCCAACCCCGCATACTTAGCACCAGCCCGTTGGATCGCCTAACTCTTCTACTCACGTTCCACTGCTTTGCCTGTTAGCCGATCCTCTCAATCACGCTAACTCCAAAATTGATAGAGAATGAGCTAATTGCGCTTGCGAAATTTATAACATGCATGCTTGTGTGAGATACTCGAGATTGTGCCGGAGTGGGAAGGAAGGAGGAGGAAGGAAGTGCCTACGACTGCATGGCCAGGCCGCGGCGTGGGGGACGCAACCGCACTCCACGCATCGATCCAGTCATGCATCGCTTAGGCCAATAGGATTTGGGAAGAATATGCGTGCGCAAGAGCACTGCAAGAAAATGACAAGAAGGAGAGGATTGCAGTTACAATCACGCCCGCCAAGACAAAAATTAGAGTTACACAGAAGATTAAGGCGCGGAAAAGTCAGAGCACAGATCCTGACGCGGCAGCAAAAATCGCGATGTACCCAAATTCCTAGCCTAGCCTAAATCCTAATTGCAAAAAGAAATTCCGAGAGCCCACGGGGGCTCGATATCAGTTGAAAATTCAAAAAGATTTTCCCGCGCGATGATCGCACCAAAATTCCCTCGTCCCACAGCAGAACAAGAAAGAAGCTATGGCAACAGTTATTCTTTGCGCTTACTAAGGTACGATCACCACCAACTGTCACGGACCATCCCAGCCTCGGGCCTTGAAAAAGAAAGACGAGGGCATTCATGCAATTTGATGGGCCCTCCCCACCTCACTCACTCGCTCAACCCCCACTCGCTCAACCCCCGGAGTACCCCTGCGCAGAAAGTCGCGCGGTTGCAGAAAGCAGTTCGTCACGGTGTTGCCTTAACTTTTCTCAAAACACTGCAACCTAGATATCAGATATAGACCATACAGACATACCATAATGCTCGTTGTCCTTCGGGAGAACCGGCTGTGATAGTCCGCTTGATACCCCTCATCGGTATTAGCAGGGTCTATGACCAACATGGGTGTGAGTGTGAGTGTGAGTGGGTTGTGTGTGGTTTGTGGGAGAGTGTTGGCCATAGACATTGCTGATACTCTATGGGGGTAGGGGAAGTAGATGGGAGGCGCAACTACTGACAAAATGCTCGGTCCTTGAGTTAGCTGGCCCCCCTCACCGGCAGACCCACCCCTACTCCCTTACCACTGTCGATTAGGATGGGGGGAACGTGCAGGGGTCCCCTGTATAGGCTTAGGAGTAGTAAAGAATATAGCTTAGTTTGAAAAAGGTAGGCCGTTGGTTCCCCCGTGCGGCATTGAGCAGAGACTGCTGATGTTCGTAGGGGGAGGGGCCCGGAGGGAAGGTACATTGACTGGCCCATAGAAGAAGCTCGGTCCTCATGCTACCGGCTGACCCCTGGCCTGTATTGCCCACCTGCTGGTGGGTGCAGCTTGTGCATGCTCCCTCGTTGGAGGCTTGAGCACGGATGTGGCTGCTACGGGGTTCCCTGCAATACTATAATGACAATAAAAAGGCCTGAAAGGCCATCACATGCCACCCTGTCCAGCCAGTGTTGGGAAAATAGGGAAAACTGGCAGTTTTCGCAAACTCCAAAAAAATTGAAGGTCAGGCCCGACGACCGCCATTGATAAATCTCATCGGCGGCCGTAGGAGGCCCACTTGAGGCCTGCTATTTTCCCACTCGCCAAAGGTACTAGTGGTTTATCCTGTTTTTGAAAAAAAGAAGAAAAAAGAGAAATGGTCCAAAATCCCCCCCCCCCTCTGTTCTGATCAGTTTGATATCTGATACGTGGTCCATAGGACCACACACAACAACAACAACAACAACAACAACAACAACAACAACAACAACAACAACAACACGTGCCACTCATAAACCCTCAACTTCAATCGGACCGTACTTCATTTCAACACTTTCCCGACTTTCCCGACGGTACCAACGGGCCTAGCTCAGTTGGTACACCCATGAACTGCTGAAAGTACAGACTCAGTTCGAATCCAAATGCAATCAGATGGACAGAATAAAATAATTTTGAATGAATTACCTGCGCCGGTCAGCTCAATGACGATACCGCCGTTGGCAAAACCAAAAACCTATCCCGATGGTAAATCATAAAACGGTGAACCAGCGAGTGTAAGTTAGCCGGCAGGACAAAGTGAAGATTGAACTAGTGGAACACACACACATGAGTAGAAAATCAACTAAGTGAGAACCGAAACATCAACACATGCTTGAACTTGACAAAGTGAAGATTGAACTTGTTGAACACATTCACATGAGTAGGAGAGCAACTAAGTGAGAACTGGAACACCAACACATGCTCGAACTTGACAAAGTGAAGCTTGAACTAGTGGAACACATTCATATGAGGAAAAAAAAAAAAGAAAAAAAAAGTTAGCCGGCAGAGGCTTGGCAGCTCCGATGAAAGGTAATATCACAGGGGAGTGAGCGTGGGGAGAAAACGCAATAGTCGGTAGTCACCTACGCTTGGCCGTGCAGGCTATTTATGGTGGCGACGCTGCGTGCGCTTGGGAGCCCCCACTCTGTTTTTTTTTTTTTTTTTTTTAATTAAAAAGACTCCATCTATTGGTGGGGAGCATCACCTGCTGGAAACCGGGTCCAGCGTCCCTCGAATACATCCTTTTCAATTACAGCGTGATGACGTCTACACTAAATCAGCGAGCAAACCATTACAGAGCGATTGAGTTGATGCAGCACGGCGCAATGCCACACACCAACGTCATCCTCTCAGGCTTTGAGCCGAGTACTTGTTCAATCGGACAAACACCGCCAAAGACACAGCACGGNTCAATCGGACAAACACCGCCAAAGACACAGCACGGCGCAATGCCACACACCAACGTCATCCTCTCAGGCTTTGAGCCGAGTACTTGTTCAATCGGCCAAAACACCGCCAAAGACAGCCATATCTTGCGTTCCTCTGAGAAATGTCGAATCCCCACAACTTCACATCACAGCCATCCCTCCGTGGGACACAGTGTAGCAGGTACAGATATGGGAATCACACGTCGCTCCCTCGTCCGCCTTCCTTCCTTCTCCCCACCCGTGACTATTGTGTTCCCCCGAACTCAACGCTCGCCCTCTCTAAATGTAGACAAGGTATCTTGCCGGTGCGGCACAGCCGTAATGAGGGTGCGTTGTGTTCGGGGGAAGACGGTAGGTAATTAATTACTGAAGAATAACGCACCTCTGCTGGGGGAGCGGGGAGTGGAGGGGCGGCTTCCTTGAGAAGGCGTTCTTTTTTTTCCAGGACCTGATAGCTCTTGGCTTGTTTATGAAAGAATGCATAAGTCCGGAGAGTACGAGATGCGTTGTGAGGAGGGACGGTGACAGACGGGGTAGGGATCATTGCACTTCGCATCGTTGCGTGGTGAAAAGTGAGTGGATGGACAGAGCGATCTTATCGTTGCCGTCTAAGCCGTTCGATGGCAGAATGAACAGACGATTGAACTCCGCCATCTCGCACAAGGTCTCGCGCGTCAGTGAACATGGCATGTCCTTTTGGGTTTTCTCTCTCGGAAGTGGTTCCTTCCTAGACAAGCATGAAGATGATGACGATGACGAGGAGGACGATGATGATGCTGATGATTCTGCTACTGCTGCCGATGAGGAAGGGGAGGAACAGGGCACCTTCCAGGCTGCGAAGCCCCCTCGCTGCTGAGGAGCAACTTCTTCAGATTCCTTCTGGTTCTCTTGAGCTAGGACGGAAGGGGAGGTGGTGGGATGGGCGGGAGCGGAACCCACAGTCTTTTCTCTCAAGACAGCATACGTAATGGCATGACAGGCCGGGCAAGAAAACACGTGCCACAAAGAGCCTGACCCACTCACGACGCTACGCTGCCTGCGTTCCCAATCCACCACCTCATCCTCCTCCTCCCTTTCTCTCTCCCTCTTTTTTCTCTGCTTTTGCTCCTGGCGCGAGGAACTCTCTCCTCTTATTCTCCTCCTCCTCGTCCTTAATGTCACTTCTTTGTTCTCCTCCTCTTCTGGATCCGATTGCCTCTCTCCAAGCTTCCTGCAACTCGTGAGTGGCCTCGGCGATTCCAAGGAACGACAGCTGCTGGCTTCAGAGAAGACAGACGATTGCATTGCTGTTCTCTGGTCAGATGAACGGCCGCCGGGTGGACCACTACTATGCTTTGGTCGATCCTCCTCCTGTACTTGGTCGTCAGCTTCGACTCCTAAATCTCCTTTGCCCGGTTTGCTTGCCTCTGCACTTAGTGATGGAAGATGATGGCGAGCGCTCGGACGAGTCATCGTGAAAGGTACGCAAAGAGGACTCACGGGATCAATGACTAAGTTCTCGCCTTTGACGACCAGCCACTGAGAGGAGCTGGCGGATGATCGTGATGACGAGCATCGGCTTTGTCGGCTGATCACCCCCCGACAATTATTACTATAGATTGCCTCCTCGTGACCTTCGAGACGAACCTGTAAGGAACAGACGCCCTGAGTACAGGGCAAGGGCATTTTCCTTTTGGTCTTCTTCCATCTATTCCTACCAGGTCCAGCCTTGCGAGGATCATCGTCCTTTTGTCGGTCCTCCTCATGACATATGCCTGACGAGGAGAGAGCTGGCCAACACCCGCATGCAGAAGGCACGAAGCATTCAATACCTTGGCGTTCAGAAACAGTGAGCTGTTTCATAAGACTCACCTTGCGGTCAAGTTGCGCCGGCAGCGCAGCCGCAGAGTTGTCGTCTGCACGGTAGTGACCTCTCGTCGTCGTCCCCGATGGAGTTCCTCTCGAACGTCGATCTTCAGCAGAATATTCCTCATCTTCCCCATCTTCCTCCTCTTCCTCCTCTTCCTCCTCTTCCTCTTCCTCTTCCTCCTCCTCCTCCTCCTCCTGATCATCATCATCATCAAAATGATAGTAATAATCGTCGTCATCAACATCATCAGTAGCAGCGGCAGCACCAGCTTCATCATCGTCAACATCGTCGCCATCATCACCATCTCCTTCATCATCCTCATCCTCATCATCTTCTATGGTGGAACATCTTGTCGAAGGATCCTCAGCAGCAGAGCTGCCTGAAGTGATGCTATCTAGCTTACCATTCCGGTCGTCGCTCTGGACAAGGAGCTTGTGGGGCTCGGAAGTTGACGAGGAAGAAACCTTGGCACTAGATTGATTGACGAGGGAACTGCCGTCCCCTCCCCTTCTCAGGTTGGCCTCCGAGTCACTTAGGTGCATGCACCGCTCTCGCCGCATGCGGCTGCTGATCCTAACGTCCTTCCTGACAGTCTGAGCGCCGTGAGGTTTGCCTGACGATCGGCTGCTGGAGGGCTCTCCAGATCCGACTTCAACTCGACTTGTAGTAGTCCGAACTGCAGGTGCAGTTCCAATCCCAATCACGACTGCGCGCCAAAGTCTGCATTTGCACTGCACCCATGTGCAGTTGTCAGCATCGAAACACGTTTGATTCGTCTGACTTCGACTGTGAGAACCTTGCAGGTACTTAGATGATGAATCTGCATCGTGCGGTGGCTGTGTGTGCAGCCCTGCCGACCCGACAACTTGTTTCCTGAGCTCGTCGGGGCTATCCATAGCCGTGGTAGTCGCCAACATAGCCGGAGTACCCGACATCGCCCCAGGATGGACTGTAGCAGCAGAGGTGGCTCTTTCAGGCCGTCCTGTACCTGGTTGCCGCTGATGATCTTGATGAAAAACAGGGCGTCGTACGGCTCCGTGTGTCTTAGCGACGCCCAAGATCCAGCGGAACGTAGACGAGGGTTGAGGAGAAAACAGGGAGGCAGGCGGGAACTGATTCCGCAAGTAGGTGTACGCCCCATACACCCCTTGAAGTTCACGTCCTTGTGGGGATACAACCAAGAGGTGGGAGAGGACAACGGCAATTGCACAGGATCCCAGAGTTGGTGACGATGGGAAGACGAGCAGAACGGTACCGCCGAGATGAGCGGCGCAGTAGAGAGCTCTCAACGCTTGGATCAGATATGGAGGTGGTGGAGGTGGGCATGATGAGCTTCTAGGAGGAGAGGAACTTGATACACTGGCCTGCTTTGCTGACAACGCAGGGCAGGAAGAGGATAGCTTGAACGTGTTCGTGTTGTTGTTGTAACCGGAGGAGGAGATGGTGGAAGGAACCGTAGCTGCTGCTGTCCCACCTGGGCTATAGCGGTCGGGATTGGATGGAAAATCACCACGCCAAGAAGCGTTGCAGCAGCTGCAGCCTTGGGACTGACAACGATGGTCTACCAGCTCCTGTCTCTGCTTCACGTCGGGGCCCGCCCAAGAGGTATGTCCTGGTTTCCGCGTCTGGACGGCCCGACTGTTCGTTCTTGTCACTGAGTCCTGAGGCTGAGGAGATGTCTTGGTGTGACAAGGCCAGCGGTGTTCGCTCCTCGAAGGGCATGTAAGAAGATCCGGGAACGCGGGCGTAGGCGGAGGAGCGTCCAGATCGCAGCCGATCCAGCACCAGTAGAAGTTGACGGCTGCGCTTGGAAGATTATTAGGATGAGGAATGTTTGCTAGACCCTTCTCCGTGGTACTATGAGCGCCGCAGCTGGGACTTGGTCTGGGGGAGGATGCTGCTCGGACGAGGATGGGGATGGACATCTCTCCTCCACGACTGACTGGCAGACCGGGCGTAGAATAACGACGGTGATCTTGCCTCTGTGAGTTGCTAAGCCAGGGACATCGAAAAGAAGGCAGCCTCAAAGGATCGTCAGCGATTCTGGATGAGTGCCAGCTCAAGGAGTTCTTGACCGGCAGCCAAGGAACAGCAGGCAAGGGAGTGAATGCGGGCTGGGGTTGCCGCTGGTACGTCAAGATCTGCGGGCTTTCGTACCAAGCTTCAGGTCCAGACTGTCCCTGCAACACACGGGATGAACATCTGCTGTGATTGCTGCTGCATCGAATTCCATGGCCGTCTGCGGCACTAGCACGGGACTGCGAGGAGGAAAAAACTTGTTCCCCCGATGTCCCAGGGGGTGAAACGAATAGAGGGCGATCAAAAGGATCAGATTCCACAGCTGGCGTTGTCTTAGAAGAAGAAGAAGAAGAAGAAGAAGAAGAAGAAGAAGAAGAAGAAGAAGAAGCGGAGGAGGAGGAAGGGTAAGGGAAAGGAAATCGGGTGGATTCGATCGTCGGAGGGGGATGACACACAAGAATGTGAGTGATGCCCAGCTCCAGTAGTGTGTCGGGATCTGATAAAGTTGCATATGATCCAACCCACAGCTCATCGGTGATTCTTGTTGGGAAACGGCTCATCAGGTGGGACAAGAGAACGGGCCTAGATAGGAGAGAAAGCATGGCCAATTTGTCATCCACCTGGTCGGCGGACTCGGCCGATGTTTGCCGCCGCATAATCCTCCTCGAGATCGTGATAGAAGGCTCGCTTTGGGATCGAACTTTCCGACTTCTGGTATAATTGCCAGTCACTGTGGTGTTGCTGGCGGTGCGGTTAGGAGGAGGCTGCTTTGTTCGTCGACCATCAGCTTGAAGACGGTCGTTGGCTGCGGCAGTCGTGTTTTCGCCGATGTTATTGCCATTGATTGCACATTCCAGATGCTGGCTTGTGCTGGGTTCCCCATCTAGCCCGTGTTTGCGTCTGAATGCACTGGGCTCTCCTAGAGGGCGATCTGGCTGGATCGCACCCAAGCTTTCCAACTCGGGTGCTCTTTCTTCACTAGTCTGATGGGGTGGAGAAGGAGGAGCATGCGAAACAGCCGTCTTAGGACTGGATTCCGACCCTGTGTGCCCCGGCGCTGACTCAGTCACCGTAGCGACAATGTGGCTCCCAGTGGTACGACCGCTTTCAAAAGGGAGGTCCCCTCCTTTGACCCTACCTGAGAGTCCAATTCGATCTTTGCCTTGTGGATCAGGTAGAATTCGCTTGTGGCCTGGGATGCCACCAATACCCGTCCCTGCTGCCATTGCCAATCTCCTGGAAGCACGGCTGCCTCCCAAGATCGATGACAACATCGCAGGTAGCTTGCTAGGAAGCCAAGAAAACAATTTGACATCTCTTCTGCTACTACCGGTCGTAGTAGCTGGCATCGACCACCGTCTTCCCGAACTCCTCGTTAGTTTACCTTTAGTGGATTGCGTCCCAGGCAGGCGTCTCCGCCACCTTATCTTCAGAATTCCAAGGGCACCAGTTTGGGGGGGTGTTACCGAACTGCTCAAGGACTGGAGGAGAGTTCTGGAAGGGTGGGCTGCCGAATCGTTCATCATGGTGACCTCCTCGGTTCTTTGGGCACCGGCCCCCCTCCGCATCAAGGGCAAAGCTGACTCCTTTGGTCGGACGACTGCTGGTTTTCCATCAATGATACTTCGACTTTCAAGTTTGGACTCACTGATCGTGACCGCTCCTAGATGATGTTTGAAAGGTGATAGGCAGACATCGGATTCCTTCGTTCGACTACCAGGATCCCGACAGTTGAGATGGGGATCACTGACACTGGAGCAACCTTCCTGACCACCTAGGCCATCGCATTCACATCCGAGATTCACGTTTCTTTCACACTGTTGATGAAACCCCGAGGAGTTTCTTTGACTTAAGGGCAACCATCGCCACGTCCGAGGTTTTAGAAGGTGGAACGACGTTTCAGAGCCATCATTAACAGCGCTGTGGCTGGCTTGGAACGTATCTGCCGGAGAAGAACAGTCCTCGTCTCTGGGCTTCCTGAGCTCCGTACGTGTAATGGTGGTGGCCGAAGTTGAAATACGGGTGGCATCAGCTACTCCTCCACTCTGACTGGGCCTGTTGACCGGTCTTCCCATTGTGGATCTTATAGGGGAGCTACTCTCCACAGTGTCACCAGCCGACCATGGCTGAAACGGTGATCGTGACGGGCCCTCCAGTGCGGATGACCGATCAATGCCTGTCTCTTCTTCGTTCCTTGAAGCTCCCACTCGCCCCTCTGGAGTACTACCCATTGATGGAGCTGTCACAGGAGTGGAAGAATGGTCCCTGTCTGATATCTGATGCTGCAAGGCGCATTTGGTCAATTCTTCGTCTGTGGGTCTCTTGCTTGGGCTGTGGGAAAGTACCATTGCCTTGGATTTGTCCTCAGGATCAGGACGAAGCGGGGAAGGTGGTCTCTCGATTGGACCAATGCAGTCATAGAAAAGGGTCCTCTTCAGATGATTGAGACGGACTGAAAGGTCGGCCATCAACGGTCTCCTCTTTGGGTCCCTCACCAACACCCATTCTAGGAAATCAATGATTGGCCTCAGGTTGCCGACCTTGGAAGCCTTCTCCTTGGTGATCAACTCCTGCCAATTCCACATTCCGCAACACGTATCAGACACAGAAGCCTCAGAAGGGTATCAGGTCTCAAAATGTCTTTGAAAAAAGCACAAGTAAATAGACTGTCTACTGGTTGATGATTAGAAAAAGGGAAAATTGTTGAAATACCCCTAAAACTTTGGGTATTTCGTTACATATCCCTAAAGGGGTACAGTGAAATGCCCCAAACTTCTGCATCTGCCCCTGTCCCACTCATTGCCAACACAGCACTCGGTTGCTGGGGCCTGTGCATATCTCTTGCAATCTGCAGGGTCCAACAGCCTAAAATACTGGGGCATATAGACAAGTTGCCCAGGGCCCGGTAGGAGTATATGCAAAAGATGACAGGTCCAATTGGCGAGCCGGGTATTTCGCAAGTTTCACTACTGTCATAGGGGCACTCGCCATACCCATGCCTTTTGGGGGTATCTGACAAAATACCCGAACTTTGAGGGGCATTTCAACAATTTTCCCTTTAAAAAATCAGGAAAGTATAGACACTAGAAATCCGCAGGAGAGGAGAGGAGAGGAGAGGAGAGGAGAGGAGGGGAGCGGAGAAGAGAGGAGAGGAGAGGAGAGGAGAGGAGAGGAGAGGAGAGGAGGGGAGAAGAATTGAGAGGAGAGGAGAGGAGAGGAGAGGAGAGGAGAGGAGAGGAGCGGAGCGGAGCGGAGAGGAGACGAGAGGAGAGGAGAGGAGATGAGAGGAGAGATGAGACGAGATGAGACGAGGAGAGAGGAGGAGAGATGAGATGAGATGAGAGGAGAGGAGAGAAGAGACAAGACGAGACGAGGAGAGGAGGAGAGGAGGAGAGGAGGAGGAGAGGAGGAGAGAGGAGGAGGAGAGGGGAGAGGAGAGAGGAGGAGAGGAGAGGAGAGGAGAGGAGAAGGAGAGGAGAGGAGAAGGAGAGGAGAGGAGGTGGAGAGACGAGGAGAGACGAGGAGAGAAGAGAAAAGAAGAGAAGAGAAGAGAAGAGAAGAGAGAAGAGGAGAGACGATAATGAGTCGGTGAAACTCCGACGAAACAGTTTGTCACAGCCCCTCGTTTGTTGTCCTCTTCTCTCTCTCTGCCTACGGTTTACCGGGCAGTTCTATTTGTGACGATATATATATATCAATAGTTCTGTGACAATATATAGGTTCAGCCTCCTGATGAGTCGGTGAAACTCCGACGAAACAGTTTGTCACAGCCCCTCGTTTGTTGTCCTCTTCTC